CAGGAGACATCCCCCTAGACTACACTCCAGCTTGCAGCCCTCAGCACCCTTCGAGGGCTCGGGGACCCTCACATCCCATTCTGGTCCCAGAAGCAGAGCAACCCCACCAGGAGGCTTCTGTGGACTTTGAGCCTTTCTTCTCGTTTGGGAGCTCTTAACTCTCCACCCTGCATAGAACCTACATCCCGGGAGTCTGAGGGTTGGGCACCCTCCCCCAATCTGAGGATGTATTTCATACCACCCACCACCTCAGCTCTTGCTCAGGCCCCTCCCTTCCTTGGCCCAGGCTTGGGGTTCAGCTCTTCTCTATCTCTCCCATCCGAGGGGCAGGCACACCCCTTTATAGCCTTAGCGTGGAGCTGATCCTCAGCCTTTCCCACTTTTGGCTCTGATACCCTAATACTCAGTCCTTGTCCCCAATCTCAAACTCTCAGCTCTTCACCCCGATCTGAGTTTCTTCCCCCTGCCCAAGTCTTAGGCTCTCAATTCCTCCTACATCCATCGCTTGCAATCAGTACCCACACTGCCACTCACTGGCTTAGGGTCCAGTGAGGAATCCATCCCTGGGATATGCCCAGCCCCCTTTCCTCTTAGGATGAGCTCTCTAGCCCTGCAAAACAGGCGCAGATGCGAAGCACCCCGCAGCCATACTAGCAGATCCCCATGGGAGATCCTGGAGGAGAGAGTCCTGGGGGTGCAAAGTAGGTGGTCTGGCCTCACAACCAGGGTCACCTGACCGTTGTGCCACAGAGAGGGGTGGGGGAGGGGCTCTGAAGGGCTGGGAGCTGCTGGCCACAGGTTCTTTCCCACCCACGTGACTCTTCTCCCTTGGAGAGTCCTCTCTGCCACCTCCCCACCCCTGTCCCCCCGTATGCCTTCTGGAAGAGGAAGGGAAAAGCTCTCCGCTCCAGGGTCAGAGATCCCAAAGCACAACTGGTGAGTGGGAGGGGGCCGCCTCTCTGACTCCCACCCCCTGGGTCAGGCAGAATGGCTGGCCTGTGCTGCCTCTGCACACAGGAAGTCACCCTCCTTCAACGCATTGCCTTGAGGCCTGCCTTCCCACCCCACCCTGGAAATCTGGATCTCCCTTGGGCAGTTTTCTATAAAGTCTGCAATAATCTCAGATACTCTGCTCTTGTAAACGGTGCCATGTC